CACGTGAACTCTGGCGAACTTGCGCTCTCTCTCACGTTCTCCCGTTACTAGGAGACGCAGATAAACAAACGTGGAGCTGCTGCTTCTGTTTTCTCTGCTGTTTGTGCCGACACAGTGAAGAAGAAGCAGGTAAACATGTTTAAGTGAGAGTCATGGATGTAAAAATGTGATCAGTGGGTATTTTTAGACTTTTAAATGTACATAAACACGATTGTGCTTTAAACTCATCTCATTAAAAAGCTTTGCTGAATAACTTTTCACCATTTTTCTTTGTTTATTTGCTGTATTTTTTCTTCTTTCATGCTCTCAGTTTTCATTGGCTGTTGCAGGAGTTCGTTCAGATTGAGTCGTTGATCAGTTTATACTAGATTACGCTCAGAGTCGGGTCAAAAAAAATCAAATGTTTGATAAACTCCGACCGGTCTGGAACGCAATCAGGAGGCCAAAAATCAGAGTCTGTGACCCCTCAGACATGACTCGACTCTCTCTCCGACTGTCGACTCCGACTGACCCAAAAATCTGCAGACTAGAGCCGACCAGCTCCGACTCAGCCAGACTGAGAATCGAGGCTAAAATCAGGGTAAAAGTCGTGTAGTGTAACCCCGGCTTTACTTAGAAGACCTATAGAAATAGCATAATTAAGTTAAAATTACATGTCTTGTCTGTAATCGCTCAAACTCAAGCACTTGTGTTTTCACCATTTGAGAAGCCACCTGACAAAGCATGAGTGACCGTAATATTTTTCAAATTCCAACAATGTCTGACTTAACAGTTGGTGTCTTATTCAAATTTCCCGTTCCACCTTAAATGGTGCAGCACTTACATTCAGCCATACAGGCCCCAGAATGTATCTGCTACTCCATTTAATGTGGGATGGAAATTTTGAACAAAAAGCTGCCAAATAAGAAAACAAAGCAATACTGACAGGTTTATCTATGAATTACTCAGCTTTGTTTTTACTATTTTGCATGGTAAAAATATTTCAGGTTTACTTTGGCTGTTAAAAATGGTTGTTATTAAAAAGTGAAGGGACATCCCAGAATAACCCTGATAGCAAGAGGACAGTGAGCCTCTGTTGACCCACTGATGGCAAAGCTGGCGGTCCACTGGTGTTTTGCTCACCGTTTTCCGGATGGCCCACTGGTGGTTAAGCAGAGTAATAGACAAAATTCCACTCATCATCACTTATTTTCCACTCTCAGTCCAATTTACTTATTTCTCCATTCTACCTTTCTTTAGTTATACCTTGTTAATTTGTTTAGTAAATAATTTTAATCTGGCACATAAAAAATAATTTTATATAAGGCTTTTTTCTCTCAGTTGTTTGTAATATTTGTCTTAGATTATTTTCTAAAATAAAAGTCTGTGTGCATTTAAAATCTGTTTGAGGAGATTAAAAACTAGTTAGAGCTTGTATGCAGGACAATAATCTGGGTGGTCAGAGGGTGCCGACCTCATCAAGCCAGTGGACCGATATGCTCGCTATCTTGGAAGCCATTTATGCACCTAAAATGGTTTAATTTCAGAGTTTATACATACCGAAACAAATGTTTGGCCATCCTGTTTACTACCACCACGCTCTATGAAATACACTTTATATGGAACAATGTTATTCTGGAGTTCATTCATCAGCATCCCACCCTCCAGACCCCCTTCCCCACCAACACACAGCTGTTCATCAGTGTGTTTGGAGCTGAGTGTGTGTGTATTAGCCTCAAAAAGCCTCATTCTTAAACGCCCACTTCAGTCTGGCGCAGGTCCAGAGGGAAACACCAGTCTGACGTCTGATTCAACCACATACACACTCTGACGCAAACCTGCCCGGCCCGACGCACAGCGGCTTCACACACTGTTTTAACCCAGCGCCCAGCCAGTCAACATCAGATTAACACAACATTTCATCATCAGCACATTTCATCACTCCAGACCGAGGATTCGGGGCACGGAGAATAAATATATACAGTACTGCACAAACTTTCCTGGTGAGAAAAATGGTTCCTTGCTTTATTTATAAGTGAAGCAGCACTTTTCTATTGCCATGACACCTCCTGACCAACAGGGGCAGTGTGACGTTACCTGGCCCAGGCCTTCAGCTCAGGTAGAGTGAGAGTCTTGCTCTTCTGCAGCTGCACCACTGCTACCACCTTTTGCCCCCAGGTGGCATCCCGCGCTCCAATGACGGCCACGTCTGACATAGAGAAAGAAAAACAATCAATCAATTAATCAAATCTTTATGTATATAACACCTTTCATTCAAAGTGCTTTATATAGACAAGAATAGTATATATATATATATATATATATATATAGATATATATATATATATATATATATATATGTGACTGTGTTTTGTGTTGGTGTGTACCTGTGATGTCGGGATGGGCCAGCAGGTGGCGCTCCACATCGAGAGCGCTGATCTTATAGCCTCCGCTCTTGATGATGTCCACTGAGGTGCGGCCCATGATCCAGTAGACTCCGTCCTTGTATACCGCAGTATCTC